CCCCCCCCCCCCCCACTAACTGGTTCAATAATCCATAGTACAACTACGTGTTATGTACTATGGATCATGATTCAACCTAATCATGTTAGCAGGGGAGAATTGTAAATCTATTGCTGTAGTGGAGGTGTGTGCTGTATATATGTACTACATATACATTACACACGTCCAGTACACTACAGCAATAGATTTACAGCCAGCCCTGTCCCAGCTTCCCTCACTCAGTTTCACTCCGATCCCTGTTGCCACAGGCGGTGCCTCACGCGGTTCCTCTTGTAGTCTTCGCTGGGCAGGAACACGGCATCGCGACTTGGTGCTCAGCTTGTGGAAGGCGCTCACAATTCTGCCCTGGTAAAATGAATAGGTTAAATCATGATCCATAGTGCATATACAGTACACACGTCCAGTACACTGCAGTAATAGAGTTACAATTATCCCCTGCTAACATGAATAGGTTAAATGATCCGTAGTACAACTACATATTTTGTACTATTATGTACTATGCATCATTTAACCTATTCATGTTAGCAGGGGATAATTGTAAATCTATTGCTGCAGTGTAGTGGACCTGTGTAACGTACATGTACTACGTTCTACATATAGAGTACACTGCAACAATAGATTTACAATTATCCTCGGCTAACATGAATGGGTTAAATGATCTATAGAACATAACATGTAGTTGTACTATGGATCATTTAACCCATTAATATTAGCAGGGGATAATTGTGAATCTATTGCCGGCAGTGTATTGGGAATGTGTACTGTATATATGTACTGCATATAGAGTATACACTGCAGACAATAGATTTACAATTATCCTCTGCTAACATGAATGGGTTAAATGATCCGTAGTACAACTACATGTTATGTACTATGGATAATTTAATCCATTCATATTAGTAGAGGATAATTGTACATCTATTGTCTGCAGTGTGTACTCTATATGTAATACATATAGAGCTCACACTGCAGACAATAGATGTACAATTATCACCTGCTAATAATCATTAGTTCTTAATAGCGCCCCCCCCCTTCCCCCTGCCCTCACTTACTGCTCGATGAAGGTGCCTCGCTGGTGAGGTTGTAGTCAGCGCTGTGCTGGAGAGCAGCGGCGAGTCAGCCCTGGTCCGGTGGGAGGAGCTCAAGGTGGGGGTCCTAATTTAGCTGGCCGATGGACTTGCCAGAGGTGCCGCGCGTGTCGGGATCCTCTGGCTGTCGCCGGCCAGCTAAATTAGGACCCCCACCTGGAGCTCCTCCCACCGGACCAGGGCTGACTCGCCGCTGCTCTCCCGCACCAAAGGTAAGTGGAAAAAAAAAACATAGCGCAAGCATCGGGGCATTTTGACAAGTACAAGTACTTGTCAAAATGCCCTGTTTTTTCCGCCCTCACCCCTGCAGCGCCCTCAGCCGGCCGCTTGACTTGCCTTGCGGTAGCGCCGGGCCTGACTGCAGCCTTTGGCTCATTGATGTGGGCAAACGTTCTACTGATTCCTGACTCCGACCATTCTATTGTATTTTTCAGCATGGCCCCTGGGTCTGCCGTTGTGCATTTTGTCTTTTTACCTTTTGCCTTTGATATACAAACATGTACATAATTGCTCATATTGTATTTTGCATACTTTTGAGCAGCAACACTTTCTTTCAGATTATCAGGTCAATAAGTTTATTAAATTGATTTCTTGATACATTGGTTATTTGCTATGTTATGTTGATTTCATCTTTATTGTCCTGTTCTAGAGGGACCTTATGGTGTGTTTGCTGGACGTGATGCTTCCCGTGGTCTTGCCACTTTCTGCCTCGATAAAGAAGCCTTAAGAGATACATATGATGACCTCTCCGACTTAACAGCTTCACAGCGGGAGACATTAAGTGACTGGGAACAACAATTTACCTGTAAGTTGTATTATAAAATAAGATGTTCATGATATAACTTTTTAAACTACAGGAGCATTATAGACTTTAAACTTGAGTATCAGCATATAGCCCTGGGTTGGAAGCTGTAGTTTGTGCTGAAAGGTTTGGTGTGTGAAAGAGTAATTGTGGGCTGGTGTGAGGTTTGTGTGATCCTGTGCGGTAGGCAGAGTCTACAGCTGTAAGGCCTTGTGTCCCTGGATTGTCAGCGTGCAGAACACCCTAGCTTCCTGCTGTAGGTACATTCTGTTGGGGACAGAATATGTCCAGAGCACTTTGCGGGACCTGCTCACTGGGTGATTGGTTCTCCCTCCTTGGCTGATCAGCAGCCTCCTGGGGGGAAGGTCCTCCAGTTACCTTCCCATGTTTGGCCCTTTTTTAGGCAAATACCCTTGGCATTTTGGCTTAGATTCCTGTCTCTTGCTCCATGGCTGTTGATGCTTCGCTTTATTTGGGGGAAGAAGGTGCTCCCTAGAAGCACTGCTGTGGTCTGGCTATGCAGCATCCTTCTGCAGGTTATCTATGGATATCAGAGGCAATGCTTGTTTTCTTTGTGGTTCCCATCTCGCCAGCCTGGGCTGAGGCCTAATTTTCATTTTTTGGGTTCTCCAGTGGATTGGGATAGATGATTGTCTCTGGACACAGGATAGATGCATTCAGCAACAATCATTTTATCCTGAACCACACGTGATCGTACCATGTACAATTACATGCGGTCTTCCACTAGCAGATGCGACTGCTGTCACCAGTCGGAGAAGTACTTGCAGCAGACCCCGGCTTTAAGCCCTTTTGCCTGATGACACTCAGCTTTCCCACAGTCTTCTAGGTAACCTAAGGATGCCACACCTTGCAAGTATCTTTTATTTTTTTTACTGCCAATTTGTAAAATATTTTGCTAGCGATATTAAACGGGGAAAATGGCGGGCTAGTAGGGTGTATGTGTTTTGTAGTGCAGGGTCTGCTTTAAACCTGTACAAACTTTTGATGTGTGAATTATGCAGAATGGGGAGATGTTAAAATGACCCTGTCAGCACAAGGTCGATTGTATACAAAACCATACCTGTGAAAGAAGAGTGCATATACTTCACTTTCCAGCGGCCCACCCCTTCGCTTTGTGTGGATCAAATACCTTTTTCACCAACCCCACACACAGTGGTTCCTTCCGCTGACTTATACCTCCTGTAGTGATGTAGAAACTGGCAGCAGAAACCACAGCATGTGGTGGGGTAGCAGATTTTCCACACACCCAGAAGTATCGAGTAGATTTAGCGGCCAGGCCAAGCCAAGTGGCAGTGTTTCAACACATAGGCTGCCGGATAGGCAAGTCTAATCACTCTTCTTTTACAGGTATGGTTCTGTATACAAGTGACCTTGTGCTGCTGGGTAACGAAAAAAAGGAGACAAGCCTAGGTACTAAGCTGAACAAAGATCATACGCAAACTCTGTGTTCATCAGTTGGTTCACATATGATAATGTAACAAAATGTATAATAAACAGCTCACCTTTAGTTAATGCTAGTTCTCACATAGGTTTAGCATAGCAGAGAGTGCTTGGATAACTGCTGATAATGTAAAACCTGTCAAAATGACCATAGGTTGATGGAGGCTGAGACCTGAAAGTGCATGCATTGAGCTGACCTGAGGCCTGCGGGTGCATGCACTGGAGCTGACCTGAGGCCTGCGGGTGCATGCACTGGAGCTGACCTGAGGCCCGCGGGTGCATGCACGGGAGCTGACCTGAGGCCTGCGGGTGCATGCACTGGAGATGCCCGGAGGTCTGCGGGTTATGCACTGGAGATGCCCGGAGGTCTGCGGGTTATGCACTGGAGATGCCCGGAGGTCTGCGGGTGCATGCACGGGAGATGGCCGGAGGTCTGCGGGTGCATGCACGGGAGATGGCCGGAGGTCTGCGGGTGCATGCACGGGAGATGGCCGGAGGTCTGCGGGTGCATGCACGGGAGATGGCCGGAGGTCTGCGGGTGCATGCATTTGTATTGACCGGAGGTCTAAATATAAACACATTTTGTGTGTGCACCAGTTTATGTAACATTTAATGAGCTTAACTTGCCATTAGCAGTACAACTATGAGTGCAAACTTTGAAAACAAACTATATGACTACGTTGCACTGTTGTTCACTATTGTCGACACTTATTGTGGAAAAGATTGCTGGCCAATGCTCGATTAGCAGTGGTTCCCAATCCTTCCCTTTTTTTTTTTACTTGCATAACCCTTCTCAGCCTATTTACAAAATTTGTTTTAAAAAATCATATTCGCAAAATGTTTGTAATGATATAGTTGCTGTTATTTCAAATGTATGTTGTAACTAAAATAAATGGCCTAATGGGATTAAAAATGAGTGAGATGAACAAAACTGAGCTTTAGCAGCAATTTAGTGCCTTGAATCACAGACTGGCCGTGTAATGTTTCTCACTGACTCCAGCAGGACATTCTGTCTGTCGGTCTTGGCTTCTCTCCAAGCTCTCCCCTACGCCTAGAATGTGGCCACTGGCAGGTGCTCTTTGGAGGGGTACCTGCTGTCTGCCTCTGCTGGGCACCAGGCAGAACGAGCTGGCAGTGCAGTGGTCACACAGTGGTGTGTCATTGAGGCAGTGGGCAGTAGGCACCATGAAGCTCCTGTCCCCGAGCACCCTCTGAGTCCTGCAATGCATCAAGCTACTATTATGAAGAGTGCTACAGTGCACAATGTGGCCCTGGTGCTTAGGTGGACTGCTGCACAGACTTGAGGAGAGAGGCAGCCACCTGCAGAGGTGCTACGACTGCAGTTGGTGGGAAGAACTTAAGCAGGAGGAGGGTGACGTCAGATCACTACGTTCCTCCTGCCCACTAAGGCCTGCGCTGCCAATGCCTAGCCAAAACAACACTTTGTTTACAGTGAGAGTTCGGCTATTTTAAAAATGTGTTTTTCACATACCCCCAAGTTTAAAAGCACAGTGCAAGTGAAAAAATAATTTATGGAAACTTAGCATGCATTTAAAATACCTGATTTTTTTTTTTTTTCCCCCTGTGCTTTTACTTGCAATTTAAGTTGTTGATATGGTCTCTTTAATGCTTGTTTGTGTGTAGATGACAGGTACTCTGTAAACCATCTTGTCTCTCCTTTTTTTTTTTTTTTTTTGTGTGTGTTTTTTTAAAAATAATAAATTCAGCTAATTATGTTGTCTGCCATGTACTTTATTTCAGTTAAGTATCACCATGTGGGGAAACTTCTGAAAGACGGAGAGGAACCAACCGAATACACAGATGAAGAGGATACTGACCAAAAGAAGAAAAACTAAAGAAATCCATGAATGCTTTGGAAATGAGCACCTACATTGCAGATTATACATTGTTCTAGCTTTCAGTATATACTACAGCATTGCGTGAAATGCAGCCCATGTGGTGGTCTTCCACAAAGTTATCGTTGCTTCTTGTGCACAAACTTTCTACGCAATGTTTATGAAGAAGCTTTGTATTTCAAGGCTTACCTTGAGGTGATATAACACTTTACGACCGTGTTTCCTAAACTTCTCATCAAGTACCACTAACAGAGAACATGTTCTAGTTCTCCTCATAGGTAATATGTTCCTTTTTGGGGGGGTTTTCTTGCGTGATTTTTATTTTTCCCTGCCTGCAATGCCCTACTGTTAGTGATATTTCAGGAAAGGACTAGGAAACACTGGTTTATGGTGCTGCTATTGGGAGCATCACATTAAAAACACAAATTCATCTAATGATGTAAATTGTAAAGCGAGTAAAGCAATGAAATCAATGGTCTACAAGAATGTTTTTTTTAAATTTTGAGTGTCGAAAATTGTATTTTTCACATTTTACCCGCCTCTCCAGCGAAGTACACATGGGCAATTTTATTAAACTTAAATTGCAAACGCCAGCTTGAATAGAATCGGGCTCAGTGAGCATTTACAACCATTTAAAAGGGAAGAGCTGCTTTCTAGACGCCCTCTTAGTGCCTTTTAGCTTCACCAGGTAGCACTGCACAAAGATCTGAATGGGAGTGTTGGAAGTGGCTTTAACAAACATTTATCCAGCTCCTGTAGGCATTTGGTGAACATTTGTGAGCTGAGCCCAGCAGTAAGTTACTAAATGTTAAAACAGGATGCCTTTTGAGGCTAGTGTTTACAAGCCGAGAAAACAATGCCCACATGTACTTAACCTCACCTCACAGTTACAGGATATCTGATCTTGCATTTCTGAGTGCTTAGATCCTTTCCGTTCCTTGCATTTCTGGCTGGGAAGCTTGGAAATAGTGAATTACATCACAAGCTAATCTCTGCTTTCTCAACAGTGAAGAAATATATACAGATTTTCAAACCCTTTTCAATATGCAGCCTCAGTCTTTGGAGTTTTCCTGACCTCAGTTGCTTGTAACCCATAAACTGTAAAATTGTGATATAATTGCACTTGAATACTTTACATTGTGCAAATGTCTCTGCCTTATGATACTGACCAGTTTCCACAGTTGATATAGATGCACATTATTGTTGGTGTTCTGTTTTAATGTTATAGAAACAATGTTTTTAAAATGTGTTTTCTTGTATTTCTAATCGGTTATTTCTCAGTTGGATGTTTAATTATTTTCTGATGTGCATCAGATATAGTAAAATTTGCAGTAGATCTGTTATATTTTATACATCTGTTCACCCAGATACATTAAGATCATCTTGTCTGTGGTGCATTGGTTTCCCTGTATCATATCCTGTTCTTTAGCTTACAGAGACCGAGAACAGTCTGTTCAAGGTTAGGTCACTATCAGATGAGTGGAGGCTTTTGAACAGAAATTAGAAAAAATACGTTTTGAACCATCCCACACCCTGTAACAGTTACAGTAAACACAAATGCTAACCTCAGACCAGACGAGTGCTGGAATACTTTATAGACATCTATGGGCTGCTCTCACATTTATCCCGAGCTGTGGCATGGGTGGCAGATGATAATTTCTTGGTATAGATTTTTTTTTTTTTTACAGTGAGGCTTCAACAAATGGTTAAATACGCAGTTAAAATACAACCATACATTCCTGTAATATCTGCCTGCTCATTGGGCAATGAATCAGCAGGGTAATCATGAAATTCATGTTTAATGAGCAGGTAGGAGTCACAGGAAGTGGCAAACCTGAACTGGAAAATTAGAGGTGTTGCATGGCCTGCCTATGCAACACCGGGGAGGTCTGTGAACACAAGAAAAGCTTAGACACTTCACATATATGTATTTCAACGATTAATAAATATGAAATACATTCCTTAACAGTTTCCTGTACTTTTAGAAATGCATTTAGACGCACCTTTGTTTGCAAAATGTAGAAGATGGGTGGTGCCTGCACTATAATGTATCATCTGTACAGTCAACCTCTAGTTATTGGCAGAATATGGTTCAAACACCACTGCAAGCATGGCATGATCCATTTTATCCCTCATGTTTTTTTCTTTTGTAGAGAGCATTTGTTACTGCATGTCTTGCTGCCTGTCCTGACTTTAAGTTTAAAATGAAAAATCGGAATAGATCACATATGTCCACGAATCCTTCTACAGCTGTCAGATGGCAGTGTGTAAAAACTAGAGACAACTAAGATAATCCAAGGATTCTGAAAGGGGTGAACCAACTGAGATCTGAGCAAATGTATTCCACAAGTTGGGTAAGACGAGTTTACGATAAGGTGCCTTCATAGCCTGGACCTTTGTATAAAGCTCTGTTCTTTTCCACATAAAAGTATTTTTCTTAGAACCAATGTTTAAATAAACTTGTTAATCTGAGTGTTTTGTATTTTATGAGCTTGGAATTTTGCATTTTATCTGCTGTTCAAGGTATGGAAGCAAGGTCAAATAGATCTGATATGGTACAGGCATTTCCTAATAGCCATTGCAATGCTTTGCATTTAATATTATACACAACGCTAAACCTACAAAAATCAGGAATGAATATAAAAGGGTTTCAAAGCAAACGTTTCTTAGTCTCCGGCAGTTGATTCTTGGTGACCCATATGGTTACCCGATTTTAATAATTGCTGTTTGTAAAATCATCATGTGATTTTTTTCCATTCTTTTGTGAAAACAAATTGAACTACATTTGGAATGACTTCCTTTAAACCACACCCCCTCATTTTTATTTTTAAGTGCGATTTAAAGTAGACCAAGGCATTCCTTTTCCCATCTAACAGTATCTGTGGATAGAGGCTGTTGTAAATTCTTTATTGTCCTTTTATTGACAGATCTCTATTATTATTCTCCCTTTCTTTTCACAGTGGCTGTCCTTGGCCAATAGAAAACAAAATAGTTCCTGCTAATAGGGAAAAGGAAGGACCATGTGATTGTATTAAGGCAGAGTGTCTGAGAACCTGACTTTACTGAGAAAAGTTTGATTTCCAGTCTGAGTTTTCACAGTTGCATCCAAATATTGCTAGAGAGCTATGGCACAAGAGAGGGTGCAGTAAAGCGTTATGTAGAGCTTATAATGCTGGCAATACACGGTTTAACTTTGGAACAATTCCTGCTGAATTGGCTGAAATTGGAGCCGCGGGGGGTCCTGTCGGCAGCACCCGGCTCTACAATATTTGTTTGAAAACTCGAAGGAGCCAGGTGGAAAATTATCAGTTAAACAGAGACCGCATCCACTCGGATGTAGTCATCAAGTATTCAGGCAACCGTGGATGCCCTCTCTCTGAATACAATAGCTGACTTGGGGAATTCTATTAGATTTCTCTCGTTCAGCCCAATCTGTGAGTCTGGTTAACATTGGTTGTGATAGCTAGATAAATGGCATTGTTTACACATCTTGAGAGAAAACTTTGCTATTGCTGGCTTCCTTGTGAAAATGCTTGTTGGCTGACTTCATGCTGTCATGGGCTAGTTTAATGTATCACTGACCTGAAACAAGAATAGAGGTTGAATAGGGGACTTTAACCTTACTGGCAGCATGCCTGTTGTGGTTCAGCTACTCTAAACATATTGTTGTACCTGGAGACCACAAATCAATTAATAGTTTCAGATGGAAACCACCAATGGCAATTTCTGCTATAACAGACCCAATAAGGAAGGAAGAATCTGATCTTTTATAACATTTTAGAGTTTTTAAAATGGGAAGACTTTAAAGGTAAGCCCGGGGCAAGTATCGTGATCTAGTATAAAAGTATTGCGGGGTCTAGTATAAAGGTATTGCGGGGGCAGGAACTAACTAGGACTCTGAGCATTTGGATAACCTCTTACATTAGCTGTGTAATCAGCAGGCTAAGATGCAATTTTGGACAGTGTGCTGCTTCTCTGGTGAAAGTTGAATATTTGCCTGTACTTTGACAGGAGCATAAATTATAAGCACAGGATTATAGGTAAATTATAGGAAATTATAGGTCCCTTCCCTAGATATTGATTTTAATTTTTAGCTGTTTGCCTGAATTTCAGCTTCGGGCTTGAGTAGTTTTACAGTGGTGGCAATGGGAGGTTAGGTTATAGAAGACAGAGACTGTTGGTCTAGAAGGAATATTTGCAGCTATAATGAAAACAGGAAAGTGCTGCTGTGAATCCAGTAGCTTTGCTTTAAAGAGAAACTTTACCCATAGCTTCAAAATTACAACAAAGATACCGTTACAAATGGCAATCCACAAATAAATACTTCTAGATAATTGCCGGCTTTTTATTCTTTGCATACCTTGTTTTTCTTTTCCTCCCTATTCCTCTCACAGTGGCCATTTTTACTAAGGCATATGAATCCATCTCCCTTTACTTCTTGGAACTCTGGCATATGTGACTAGGACATGTGACCATGCACATCGTGGGAATCATATTTGGCACACAACCTTGTGGGTGAAATAGAAACAGAAAACACCCAAACGACCTTTTTACAGGTGTTTAAAAATGTGATCCATTTTATATTTTGGTCATGGTACATGTTTTTGGCATTTGTCTTGTTTGAGGCCAGACATAGAAATTCTGTTTTTGTAAATGGTGCATGGGTGAAAAAAAAACGCCATTATGTTAATTAAGAGAGAGCACAAGGTCTTCACTTCTATACATGTTTTGTTAATAAAATTATCTTTCTTTTCTAATGCTGTGTGTGTTCGTAACAGATGAAACACTCTGTCTTATCTTCACTGTTATACATTACAGGATCTGTCATCTTGCCTTTGGGGACTGTTGCCAGATTTGGATACTGTTACCAGAGACTTGTTTTTCTGGGTGATATAGCTAGGCATGGCACAATGCAGATCAGTATATTGTGCAGAACAGAATGAAAAAGGCTTCTTTTAAGCTTAAATTACTTAAAGGAGAATTATGAGGCGAGTGATTTTCACTCAGCCTCATAATCTG